GGATCATGACCTGAGCCGAAGGCAGTCGCTTAACCAACTGAGCCACCCAGGTGCCCCTAAAGCCAGTTTTGATCCAAAGGTTTCTACACCCTTACCCTCTCCAATATCTTTGTCTCCTGCAGACCAAGGCTGTGTCAAGATGGCGTCCGTGTTTCGCAGTGAGGAGATGTGTTTGTCCCAACTGTTCCTCCAGGTGGAGGCTGCATATTGCTGTGTGGCTGAGCTTGGGGAGCTTGGATTGGTTCAGTTCAAAGATGTAGGTGCTGCATTCTTGAAAGGCCAGAGGAAGGTGGGGTGGGAGTAGACATCTCTTTCACACCACTTCTTGGTAGTGAACTACGTGCAGGGAGAAGAGCCCTGAGCTGGGATAGATGGAATTCCATGTGGTTCTAGTTGTTCTGGCTAAGATTTGTGATAACACTGAGCAAGTGACTTGCAAACCTGTTCTCCTTTCCTCCATATGTATCCCCTGTATAGGAATGTTTTGAAGCTCTAGTACAGTCAATACTTGTTAGATGGCATTAAACTTTCTTTCCTAAGTAGTATCTTCCAAGAATTAGATATCTCCAATGGGCATGTAGATTACCAAACCTTTTTCTGAGGACAGAAATCAATGCTTCCTAATTAGTTAGTCTGAGGACAAAGTATCGTGGGGTGCACAGTCTCTCTGTGGTGATATTCTAGGGCGAGACAGTCTTGAGTGTGATGTTGGGGTATCATTTCCCAGAGGTGGTTTCCTTACCAAGCTTTTTTGAATCTGATTTAGAAAATTGGACTCTTACCCCTTTACTTCCTCACCAAGATCATGACCAAAACTAAGCTCCTGCAGGGAAGGATCATGTCTTGTTCTTTGTATCCTTAGTTCCTAGGACCTGATGTGAGGCTATTCCTCAGTGACATTTATTGGGCAGGATGCCAAATTGCATTTGGGGGATTATGTGTAAGAATAGCAAGGTTTTTGCCTGTAACTCACGTCTTGTGCATGGAAATATCTATTCCTAAAATGATTCCAGCAACATTTTCCAGCATTAAAAAAAACCAAAACAAAACAGAACAGAAAAAACACAACAACAACAAAAAAACCCCAAAAGGAATACGTTGGTGGCTGTTGATACCAGTGTGTCTTGTGGTTTCTCCCCACTCTAGTTAAATGTGAATGTGAACAGCTTCCAAAGGAAATTTGTGAATGAAGTCAGAAGGTGTGAGTCACTGGAGAGAATCCTCCGTAAGCCAATTTTCTGTTTACTGTCTAAATGTGAACTGGTGGGGAGGTAAGTGGTTTGCAGGACTGGATTATAACACACATGTCCCTATTTGTATAGGGACAAAGTGTTCTAGAGACAAAGTGGGGCAGTGAGAGTTGGGATCCAGATGCTGTGGCAGGTCCTGGGGGCAATTTAGGCAGCTAGCCGGCTGAAAGTCGGCTGTCTGCTTGGATCCATTTCTTAGGGGAGAAAACACAATCACCTTGGGATCTCTGGTGGGGTTTCATCCCACAGGTTTCCTGGAAGATGAGATGCAAAATGAGATTGTGCCTCAATTGCCAGAGAGGCCCCCACCGACCCCTCTTCCACGGGAAATGATTATGCTGGAGGTATGTTGAGCCAAGGACATGATAGCGGGTGGCCCTCCATCTTTCTTTTTCTCTCTACTTCCTTTTATAGAACACTGAGTGCCCGCCATGCGCAAGGTACCTTAGAGAGAAACAAAACCTGGCCGTGCCCTCTAGAAGCTTATAGAGGAGATAGTGGAGGAAGGATGGAGGGGTGAGGTGGTGGGAGAGGATGTCAAAAGATAGGCAGAGCCAGATCCTGGAAGGCCCTGCAGATCTTGATTTTAAAAAATTGGATATTTTATCCTCAGAAGAGGAAGGGCCCGCTAAAGGAGGCGGGAAGGTAGGGGAGCTTCACTGCCCGAGCCTTATCTCTGGCTGGGTTTGTTTGTTTTTTTCTTTTAAGATAACTTAAAATTCTTGAAATTTTTGAAGCTGTTAGTGGTATAAATAAAGATACTCTGACAGAGATATGAGACTGGCAACTCCCCTGAAAAATATTTTGGATCCTGTCATACTAAATCCTGGATATTTTGGGAGAAGTTGTGTTGGTTGTATGTTTCAGACAGTACCTTAAAAAAAAAAAAAAATCAGTGCATCCCCCCCCACAAAAAAAAAAGAAGAAGAAAGAAAGAAAAAAGAAGAAAAAAATCAATGCATCTAAATGAGTTTGGTATTGGCTGATTGGTTGGTTTTGAAACTCTACACTCTCATACATTCGTAGTAATAACCAGTTAGATAAGGCACAATCAGATGTGTGCCAACAGTCCTTACTCAGTATTTTCCTTTTAGATATTATTTATTGTTGTTTTTAAAGATTTATTTATTTTTTTTAGAGAGGGAGAGAGAGAGAGAGAGCCGGGGGGAGGGGGGAGAGGGAGAGGGAGAGTCTTAAGCAGACTCTGTGCTGAGTGTGGAGCCAGATGCAGGGCTTGATCCCATGACCCTGAGATCATGACCTGAGCTGAAACCAAGAGTCAGACGCTTAACTGACTGAGCCACCCAGGCACCCCTGGATATTATTTATTATAAAGATGAAATTAGAACAACATGAGCTTCTGAGTAGCAATATCTGTCTAACCATTGGTCAAGGGGACAGACTGATTCAACTGATCTGGCAGTGAGTTGAGTGTTCCTCCAGCATTCCTAGGGAGGGGAATCCTTCTGGCAAGAGTACACAATTGGCTTTGGGCCCTTGCCATGCAGAATTTCTAAAGAGGCTTTCATAACAATCCTAGGGAAAGTATTAATTAAAAAAAAAATCTATCCACAAATCCACCATTTCAGCAAAAACTTCCTTTTCTATTTTCAGGTTTTATCCTTATCAGCTATATTTTTATGTAATTACATGTCCATAGTCTACATTATAATTTTCTATGCATTTACTATCATATTGTAAACTGTTTCTTAAATGATGCATGATTCTCCAAAATATTTTTAAAAGCAGCATTATTTTTAACAGAATCATTAAGTGGATAGAGCAAATGGTTAAGAAATGGGGATTTCATTTTTTTCCCCCACTTTTGTGCCACTGTAGTTAGTGTTCAAAATTTAGGGTAGTGATTACCTCTGGGAGGGGAGAGCATGGGATGCAATTGAAGTTGGTTGATATGTATGTGGGGTTCATGGTGCAGTTCTCTCCATCTAACATATGTAAAATTTTCCATCATAAGAAATGTTAAAAATTCAATTTTGTCTGATACTAATATGCTTTTGAGGGTGGTGGGGGAAGGTAACTAATATTTGCATGGATATCTTTGTTTTACTGTTTATTTTTAAAATCTTTTTGGTAAGGGTGTCCCTCAGGTAGATTAAAAGAAATCTAGCATGATAATCTCTGTTTTTTAATAGGTGATCTTAATCCATTTTCAGATATGTGGTTGCTGATTTACTGGCAATTGTTTTTGTTAAATATTGAATTGGTACAGTAGAATTTTTAGAAAATATGTGTAAGGTGGAAAGAATAATGATATAGCAAACACCAAGTGCCATCACTCTGTATGACATAAAAGATGACCACAGTGATGCTTTTAAAAGCCTTCTGTGTGCCCCCCGTCCTTCCGCTCCTCCCTTGAGATAATCCTGTCCTGAATTTTGCATTTTTCTTTTCCTCGTTTCTTCATTGTTTTATCACATATTTAGTCTTTTAAATAGCATATGATTTAGCTTTGCACCTTTTAGCTTTATATAAATGAAATCATCATGTTTCTTCTTTTGCAACTTGCTGTTTTCTTACGTCATTTTATTTTTTAAGACACCGTATTGTTTCATGTTTCTGAAATTAATTTGTTTTCACTGATGGGTAGTGTTTCTTTTATTGCATGTTCCATACTTTATGGAACTTTATCCATTCTACTGTGGGTGGACATTTGGATAAATGAGAAATGAGCTTTCATTCTATACCAAATCTTAGTAGTGCATTCATGAATTGTGTCCAATAAAGAGTTGATCTTCACCTACTAGGTTTTGAATTTCAATACCTATATTTTACATTTCCAAGATTTCTTAATTGTTCCCCTTTTATATTTACCTTTTCTTTCATTTTAGGGCATGTTGGTTTACTAATTTTTTGGTTTGTGTGTGTGTGTATAAGCAATGCCTTCACTTATCTCTTCTAGCATTCTAAAAAAAAGCCTTAAACTCTTTTTCAGACTAATCCATAAAAATAATTTCACCCAATGTGAATTTGTGTTCTGATTGTTGATTTTGTTGGTGATTTTTCTTTTTCTTTTTTTTTTAATTTTTAAAAAAGATTTATTTATTTGACAGAGAGAGATATAGCGAGAGAGAGCATGAGCAGGGGGAGTGGGAGAAGGAGAAGCAGGCTTCCCGCCGAGTAGGGAGCCTGATGTGGGGCTCAATCCCAGGACCCTGGGATCATGACCTGAGCCAAAGGCAGACGCTTAACAACTGAGCCACCCAGGCGCCCCTGATTTTTACCTGGGATCATGACCTGAGCCAAACGCAGATGCTTAACAACTGAGCCACCCAGGTGCCCCTGATTTTTCTTATCATTAGATTTCGTCTTGAGACTTACTCATTTTGTATGCTCATTTTGGAAGGAAGATTGTTTTTTTTCTTTGTTTTTGTCTTCTTGCGTGTTGTGCTCACAGTTCTCTATATAGCCTTTTTTACTTGTTTGTACCTGGTTCTCCAGATTCCAACCCAGAACTAGCGATTCCTCTTGTTATATTTCATCATTGCAGTGTGTTTGGGGCAGAAGGAATTCTCAACATGTAAATTCACTCCAGCTTCCCTTTTTTCGTGTTTTAAATGGGGGAGAGATATGCAATTTGCTGAAATGCCTTGGCTTCTTCAGGAAGCTAATTTCCATCCCTGCAGAGTGTTTTATAATCCTATTTGATGAAAATGGATCTAGTTTATAGCTCTATAGTCATTTTGAGTTGGACTGAACATGCCACTCAACTTCTGGCTATATTATGATACACTGAATTCTTCTTTGATATTTAGTTATTTGTAGTGGTTAATGTACAGTGAATATCACAGCACTGTCTGCCTGCTTTCCCTTCTTTTTCCATTCTTCATAGACTCTTCTAGAAAAACTGGAAGAAGAATTACAGGAAGCCAACCAGAACCAGCAGGCTTTGAAGAAAAGCTTCCTAGAACTGACTGAACTCAAACATCTGCTGAAGAAAACCCAAGATTTCTTTGAGGTTGTTATCTGGGGACTCTTTATTAAAGGGACCTTTCCCCCAGAGCCTCAAGTTTCCATTTTGAAAACTGGCTGGTTTGGAGTATGCATAAATCACGCTTGTTTCTGTCCCATGCCGAGGTCATTAGTGAGGGGGGAGGGTATTCCAGGGGAAACGTGGTGCCAATTTGAACTAAACACAAAGATATTATGATGCTCTTTGGAAAGTATGTGCCCCAAACACGCAGATGGAAGTGAGAACAAAGCACAACAGTGAGTTTGGGCAGATTTGGGATTTCGGTAGTAAAAGACTGGGGGAAGTTTTTGATCTGGCAAGGAGCACTCGACTTTTTGAATTCTCTTAACTATTTGTGGAAAACTAAAGTTTCGTTAAAAATAGACAAACCTTTGAGGTGGAGGGAGCTTTGAAGGTCATCTAAATATGTTTAAGAGAAAGCAGTAGTTCTTTGACTTTCAGACAGAAACCAACCTCGCTGATGATTTCTTTATGGAAGACACTTCGGGTCTCCTGGAGTTAAGAGCGACACCTGCCTGTGTGACTGGAAAACTGGGGTTAGTGTAACTCTGCTCTGAAAGTTACATGTAGATGGGTTTCTGGTCCACAGTTCAGTGCCTGGAATGTGATAGATTTCCCAGGGGGTCTGAATGAGTGAGTGAATGAATGAATGAATGAACCAGACACTGGAATGAGGGCTATTTCACATGAATATAGACCTCCACACTGTAATAAACCCAAGAGTAACCTCTTCAGGTTGGTGGAGTGGGAGGTAGTGTTACCTTCTTGTTAATGGTGAAACTAGCATTCTGGGAGCCTGAAGAATACAATGTTTATGTTGTTCGTGCAGGGGGAGGATGTGGCGAGAATTATTTAGATGCGTTTTCTCAACTGTTCCCTGCTTCCTTATCTTGGAAATACTGCTTTGGCAATAAAATAGATTTGAAATTTGCTGTTTGAAGTGCAATTAGCAATGAGGTAGTCATATGATCACATCATCCACAAGAAGGAGTAATGTGGTATTAAAATGCATGGTGATTCAAAACAGTGGGATTTCATTCAGTGTCCAAGTAAAATTGATGTGTATGCATTGAAAACATTTGATCAGAAGGTAACACAGGCTCAGCGCACGTTTAAAGTGAAAGACCAATGAAAGTAACCATTTTAAAATTAATAGAAAAAGTTTCAATTGGAAATTTTCTAGACACAGGGATGATTTTAAAAGTAGAGATAAATGGAAATGAGTATGTCTGTTTCACTTCTAGCACATTATTTATAAAAATGCATAGAGCCCATTGTTGAACAGTTGGAACAGTTCCTTTCTTTAGCTACGATGCCATAATGGCGGGCTATCATATTGCTAATTGCAAGTAAGTGACTATGTAGTATCGGGGTGACTAAGGAAGTCTCAGTACATCGGAGGAAACAGGAGGCCAAAAGGGACTTGGGGCAAGTAGGGGCTGGGCTGCCGAGTGGCCTCGGGACCCCTGCCAGCTAGTGAGTCCTCCTCGTGCTCAGGGGGAAGCGGGCCTCCGTCTGGTGCTGGCGCGTCCTCAGGTCCTGCGGGGCTTCTCCCTGCTCCCCGCTCCCTGGGCCTCAGCAACGTCTCCCCGTGTGACTGCCCAGGTTCACGGCCGGGGTGATCAACAGGGAGCGGATGGCGTCCTTTGAGAGGCTGCTGTGGAGAGTGTGCCGAGGGAACATCTACCTGAAGTTCAGTGAGGTGGACACGATTCTGGAGGATCCCGTCACGGTGGGTGTCGCGGGCTGTGGAGAGCTCTGTCCTCAGTTTCCCGGGGCCCTCGCCGGGGGCTGGTGGGGGTGGGGGGGCGGTTCTCTGAAGCCATGGGTCTTCAGTTCTGTGAAGCTAAAAGCCACTGCCTTTCTTTCTCCTGGCTTTTCTCTTCCCCCACTTTGTAAAAAAAAAAAAAAAAAAAATTCCTACAAAAAGGTCAATTCAAGGACTGATTGTTGTTAACACCCCACAACTATTCATGCTTCCAAGACCCAGCTCTACCAGGTCCTGGAAACTTAGCAGTGCTCCCGCCTCGGGAGGCGGCAGCTGGGTCTTCCTCACCAGGAGCTAAGAACTGGGCTGGGTCAGTGCGCCCCAAGCTTCAGTGTGCACCTGAGCAGGAGTGACCTGGGCATCCTGTTAAAATGCAGATGCTGATGCAGTGGGGTGGGGGCGGGGCCTCCGATTCTGCATTTTTTTTTTTTTTTAAAGATTTTATTTATTTATTTGACAGAGACACAGCAAGAGAGGGAACACAAGCAGGGGGAGTGGGAGAGGGAGAAGCAG